ACATGAGCTGGGCTGCGGAATCCCGGCTAGGAGGCCCAGCCAAAGCTCCATGAAGCAGTTGCATTACCAAGTCGTTGGTTGGGTTTAAGCCCCAGTCTTCTGGGGTCAGGGACATTAGCAGCCACCCCATCATGCCTAGGGCATGGAGGTGCCTACGGCCACACGTGGAAGGTGGTCTTGTGCCAACCCCTTGCACAATTCCCCAGATGTCCTCTGCTCTCCTACTGAGCGCCTCCTGGCCTGAATTGACCATCCAGGAGCTCAAACCTGAGCATTTTAACCTATAGCTTACGTATTCTCCCTCAGAACAGCCGTTGTAGAGATCAATGTTTAAGCCAAAGGGAAAAAAAATCTGTGATTTGGAATCTTCCAGAATTTCCCAAAATGATTTCATAAAAAAATGACTTCATAAAATATCATAAGGATACCTTCTTTATAAAGGAAAAAAAATGCATTTTTGAAGATTTATTTATTTTCTTGAAAGGCAGAGGCGGGGTGTGGGGGTGTCTTCCATCCGCTGGTTCACCCTCCAGATGGCTACAATGGCTGGAGCTGGGCTGATCCAAAGCCAGGAGCCAGGAGTTTCTTCCAGATCTCCCAAGCTGGTGCAGGGACCAAAGGTCTTGGGCCATCTTCTACTGCTTTCCCAGGCCATAGCAGAGTTGCATCGGAAGTGGAGCAACCAGGACTCAAACCGGCACTCATATGGGATGCCAGCAGTGCAGGCGGCGGCTTTACCTGCTACACCACAGCACAGGTCTCAAGGTATATTTTTTAATTCACAAGTGAGAACATGAAACTATCAGGGGCCAGAGGCCAGCACCCGCATGGGAGACCAGTTAGTCTCCTGGCTTCACATCGGTGCAGCTCTGGCTGTTGTGGCCATCTAGGGCAGTGAACCAGTGGATGGAAGGAAGACCTCCCTCTTGTCCCTGGCCCTGGTTTCCTCCTGGAAGTACCTGGTGCTGGCTAGGACTCAAAGGAGGCAGTCTGAGCCTCAGTCTAGGCGGGGTGCATCCAGCAGGTCAGCTGAGGCCACATAGCAGCCTGTGAGCCAATCAGTGAGGGCCAGCAGATCAAAGCCACCGGGCCCAAACCACAGGTCAGGCAGGCAGCTCTGAGAAGAGGCCGGGCAGTGCCCCTGCAGCATGGCCGAGAGACCTCCTGGGTCTGAGAGGGTCTGAAGCAGAAATTAGGGGTCATTAGGGTAACCCCGTGCCCACCATCGTGCTGTTGAGATGCAGCCTGAAGGTTTTTAGCATACACGCAGAATCATACGGCGTAATCCAACTGTAAAACATCTTCAGGTTGCCCCCCACACTTTCCCAGAAGTGAAGCATGAAAGCTGCAAAGCCCGTGGGAGACCGGGGGGAGTTCTGGCCTAGCACCTGCAGTCAGGAGTTTTGAGTGAATGAACCTTATCACTCTGAGATGGAAGATATTTACCTCTCTGCCACTCTGCCTTTCACATAGAAATATTTACACCTTTTTAAAAAAGAAGTTGTACATGATGAAGTTTAAAAAGCAGTTGGGGGACGTGGGTTAAGCCACCTCCTGCGATGCGTGCGCCATGCCAGTTAGAATCCTGGCTGCTCCACTTCCCGTCCAGCTCCAGGCGGAGGCACCTAGGGAGGCAGCAGGAGACATTCGGAGTACTTGGGGAAGCCTCCGCAGAGTTCCCGGCTCCTGGCTTCAGCTTGTCCCCGCTGTGGCTGTTGTGACCACCTGGGGAGTGAACCAGCAGGTGGAAGACCTCTCACTCTGAAGCCTTCTCTGATGCTCTGCCTTTCAAATAAAAAGAATGAGAACTCATAGACCAAAGGAGGCCATCACACATGTGCCCACTTGGGGTCAACACTGGTGGTACAGGACCAGGCTCCTGTATAGCGCTGGTCTTGGCACAGGGATTCCTGCTACTGGGAAATGAACAAGGAACCCGTTCCTCGAAGGGGCAAAGCACTGATTCCTTCCAGAAAACCAAGTGTTGGGGCCGGCATCGCGGCAGTGAGTAAAGCCGCCTCCTATGACACCAGCGTTGCATTGGCTACCAGTTCAAGTCCTGGCTGCTCTGTTTCTGATCCAGCAAGGATGGCCCAAAGCTTGGGCTCCTCTACCCACATGGGAGACCCGGATGGAGTTCCAGGCTCCTGGCTTCGGCCTGACCCAGCCCTGGCTGTTGGAGCCCTTTGGGGCATGAACCAGCAGATGGAAGATCTGTCTCTCCTCTCTGTAACTGCCCTTTAAATGAATAAATCTTTTCCAAGGCAGTGTACTGTGGCCAGGCTAATGTGGTCCTGAGTGTTATTCAGAGCGTTCTCCTAAGGGTGGAGGGGGCAGGACCGGGCGCACAGCGGGCGCTGGGCCATCCTGGCTGGCGACAGCCTCCTGCCCGGGCCACCAGCCTGGGAGGCGTCGCGAGGCTCCTGGGTCCCAGCAAAGTGCTGACACCTCTGCCTTCGCATCTCCTTACCTGCCAGCTTCCACTGCAGGATCCCGACACGCCCCAGCCCCCGGGGCTGCCTTCCCTCCAAATGCAGGGGACCCCACAGCTCCCAGGTGGAAGGACCCAGAACGGCCTTGGGGCAGAGGGCGGGGACTGCAGGAGATAAAACCACCTTGTGCAGACATGGCCTTGATAGAGATGTCTTCATGGCAGGGTGAGGCCCCACTGCCCTGGGAACCCAGCGGGGGGGCGGGCCTCTGTCCTGCTCGGCTCCCCTGACAACCTCCACCGGAAGCTGTCCTTTCTCTTGCTGGCCTCTCCCTCACCCTGGCCTCATGCCACCTTCCCAGGGGCAGGGAGGACACACAGGAGACCGTCCTACAGCATCAACAGGGCCCCTGGTGGGGACGGCAGCCTTCACCCCGGTGCCGGGTACCTGCAGCTTCCAGAACCCTTTTAGAGGTCACAGCAGGGGAGGGTGGAGGGTACTGAGAGAGGAAGCGGCCCAAACCCACTTGGAACCGTCCTCAGGACAAGGCACCGGACCCCTTGTCTGCCACTGACACCCGGCCCCAGCACGCAGCGCCTTGGCTTGGTCACGTCCAGCGGCAGGGAGCTGGGACAGACACAGGGCAGGGCCTCTGCAGCCCGCTGGGCGCCCCTGCTCTCGGCCTCAGAGCCTTCAGAGGCTGGGACACAGCCTTCCCAGTGCCGCCAGGCTTTCTGAGCTAAAATCTCCAGTCCCACCCTTTCCTGAAGACCGGGAGCGGTTTCCAAGGACGGAGTGGACTGGATTTCCTGAAGGGCTCTAGAGGCTGCCTCTGAAGTCTCTTGTAGGTATCCACAGGTGGACCCCTCGCTACCCAGACCAGCACTGGACGGCTGCGGCTAGGGGGCAGGCTCTCCAAAGCAGGTGCCAGAACCTGACCGAGGCGCACCTATGGCCTGCTGGGCTCCTGTGACGTCCGTTGTGTCGGGTCACCACAATCGCCCGACCTTTCCCCTCTCCTTCACTGCACCAACTCCTTCCTTGCGCCCCTTCTAACCTACGCACGGGGCCATACACTTGTACCCGGATGCCTGCCCGCCAGGCCTGCCCACCCTGGCTGCTGACCCTTGGGCCGAATTCCTCGTGGACATGGAGTCACATCCCTAGCCTCTTCCCACGGAAGGCCTGACCCGGGGCCCAAAGTCAGGCCAAGGTCAAGAGCGTGGGGAAGCTGGGGGCTCCAGGGCATCATGCTTCAGGCCGGGACCGGCACCAGGCTGCCCTGGGAGCCCTCAGCTGGGGGCAGCACACCCTCGGCCCCATGCCTCTGGGGAGGGCAGAGGACAGGTCACTCCGGCCTCATAAACCCAGGTAAGGCGCTTGGACTGATCCTGGGTGGGGGCCCGGGGGAGGGAGGGGCATGGTGGGATTAGCCTGGAGGACAGGCCACGGGGCGGGGCAGGGCGGCTGGTGCCTGAGCCTTCCTCCCCATGGGGTCCTTGAGGGTTGTCATTGCTGCTTTCCCACCACCCTGCTTGCACGGCACCCAGCGGAGGGGCCAGGGGCCCAAGCCAGCTCCCTCCGGGCTGTGCAGAGCAGGGACTGCAGCCTCAGGGGCTCTGCTTCCCCCACCAAGGCACTCCAAGGTCCTGGTCCCATGTGCGCTCGAGGACTGACAGCTGTTACCACGAAATCAGCTCAAAGCCCCAAGGCTCTGGGGTCAGCTCATTCCGGAACAGGGGCACAGGGTGGGGCGACCAGTTCTGGCTACAGATGCAGCTCATCCACTGCCCCAGGCAAGTCCGCCGTGGCTGCTCCCAACCTGTGCTGTTGCTCCCAGGAGTAAGGGTGCGGCCCTATAAGGCGCTGGGATCTCAAACTGATCACCGGATCACACCACCCCCAGCATGGGGTGGGGGCGGGGAGACAGAGGGCTGGCTGGGGCTGGGGAGCACAGCAGAGGCCCTGGCATTCAGCCCTGGGCTGCCCGCCGTGGGCCGGAGCATCTGTGGGCACAGGGGAGACACCAGGGTTCACCCCGCCCCAGCTAGCAGCCCTGCCCACCGCAGGAGCTACCACTCCCCACCCCCCAGCTGAGCCCCGGAGTCCCTGCTGTGAACACCATCAGCGGCTTACCATGCTGCCACACGCTGGCTCCTGCTCACAGGCCACCTTTATCCAGGTCCCTGTAACGCTCCGAGCACACCGCCGGCCCCCACAACCATCTGTCCCTCCGTGGCACGACCTCTCTCTGCCCTCCTCCTCCTCTGAGCCAGAAGCCCTCCCTCAGAACCCTCCCTGACCCAGGCCTCCTGGGCAGGGCGTGAGAAGGTTCATTACCCAGGAGCAGAGCCAGGTGAGCGCCCTCCCAGCCCCTGGCGCAGGCTGGACGGTGGCTTCCCGCCGACTGGGGGACCTGTGACCGCAGGGCAACGCAGGGAAACATGAACGTCACTTCCAGCTGCACCTGCCCTCTGCCACTGCCTGGCGGTTGGGGCCACAGTCGCTGTGGTGTTTTCCAGTGTAGCCGCGGGCAGACCCTGCCGGGGCCGCCGAGGCCATGCACCGTAGTTGGCAAGTCTAGAACCACCGGATCCCATACCTCACCAGTGTGAGTTCTACCATTGCCAAAAACGGGGGGAGGCAGGCGGTGCAGGGTCCCCAGAGCAGAGCGAGGAGGCGTGGCCTGTGCTGGGGAAGAGACCAGGGACAGTTACAGGGAAGGGCAGGGCCAGGGAGGAGGGTCTGATCTAGACAGTCACTCACCCACCCCCTGGCCCCAGTCCCTTCTGCTCTGCCTTGTGGGCAGGGCGAGAGGAGGCACCAAGGATAGGGCCACTCCCCCTGGAGGACTGTGCCTCCTGGGTTAGAGACCCCTCCCACCCCCATGGAGAAGGAAGGATGTCTGGACCCCCTGTTCCCTCGCAGGCCCCAAGGAGGCCACCTCTGCGCTGGCTGTGGCGGGAAGAACGTGGGTCCAAGACCAAAGCAAGGTCAAGGCCTTCTACCCTGACAGGAGCACAAGTAGTGCCACTCCTCCCGGGTGGGCAAGGACCAAACTATAATCTGGGGCCTATCCCCCTCCCCCACCCCAGCCAAGTCCCACATTCAGTTCTGCTGGTCCTGGGAGGGGACTGGGGGGTAGGACTCCCCACAGGCCCCGCCCTAAGGGCCCGGCAACTTACCAAAGCTGAAGTGGGCTCTTCCCAAAACAGATGCCCAGGTCGGGGAGTAGCTGCCGCCGCACTGTCCCACAGGCTGACAACCCCAGGTCTCCGGTTCACCGAGGGCAACCACCCCCAGGCAGCCTCTGCATTGGACATGGTCGGCGGGAAGGTCAGGGTCACCCAGCAAGGGCAAAGCCAGAGGTCCTGGTCCCATGCTTTTCCCCCAGACCAGGAAGTTCCTCCCGCCTCCCTCAGGGTGCATGGGTGGGTGGGAGCCCCTCCCCCCCGCCTCAGTGGACCTGCCCCGCCATCTTGGGCTGCACCCTAGGGCTGGTCCCGCAGCACCACTGGGGCTGCCCTGCCCCGCTGGCGATCAATGGAGCCGGATCTCATTTCCACCAGCCTGAGGCTGCAGAGCGGAGGCAGGAACCGGGATAATGGCCCGGATTGAGTGGTGGGGGAGGGGCGGCGGCCTGCCAGGGACTTTCACCTTGCAAGAATCTCAGCAGGGGAGGCATGCCAGGGAGGGGGGAGAGTGAAGCCCCCCACCCCCAGCCCGGCTTCCACCAGCATGCCTGCTAGAAACCACTGCAGGAGGCAGCTCGCCGAAGTGGCCTCCAGTGGCCTGGCCGGTGTTACAGGTGGAGGTATCCATGAGCCTGCAATTAGCTGAATTATGCGAACTAAAAATTAGCTCCAGCCGAGGTACTCCCCTGGGAGTGCTGGAGCAGCTGCCCCCCTCCATGCAGGAGGCAGCGCCCACCAGCACCTGCCACCCGCAGCTCCCCAAAGGCGTCCACCTGGGCAGGTGTGAGAAGCAGAGGCAAAGCCACAGGAAGACCACCCAGGGTCGGAGGGCAGCTGCCGGCTCCCAGCTGGAGGCTGGAGGAGGCTCTGTGCTTCCCTGCCAGGCAGGAAGGAGCAGAAATGTCGCCAGGCAATTCAGAGGGTCCAGAGATGTTCTAGAAACATCCGCCAGGAACCTCCCTGCCCCGCCCCGCCCCGCCCCACCCCGTCCCATCCCATCCCAAGAAGTGGTTCTCATGGGGGGGTGGTGCTCTCTCCAGCCCCTCTGCCCTGTGGCAGGGAGCCCTGGGCGAGCGCCCAGGCAGGCCCGCCTTCGTAGCCTGGCACAAACAGCCCCTTTATTCCCACGGGGCTTTTGCACAGGATGGGAGACCAGCATGGCACCCAGCAGGGAACCTGTTGGGGTGGGAGAGGGCTCCTCCCTGTCTGGCAGTATCAAATAGGCAAACAGCTGGACCCCTCCCAGCAGCCCCCAGGGCACCCAGACAGGGGGCAAGGGCAGGGCAGCCCAGCTCCTGCTGAGAAGTGGACTGGATCCTGTGGTCATGGTGAGCTGACCTACTGACCCAGCCTGAGTGACCAGCCCCCGCCGGAGGCTCCCCGGTGAGAAAGCAAGCAGCTCCCCGCTGGCCCACATCCCAGGTCAGCCGGCTGGCCTCCCGCTGACCACTGCCCTTCAGGGCTGCACACAGGGCCGGGCCTGGCTCTTTGATGGACCAGACCCAGGCATCCCGGCCTCGGTATCTGCCATCATGGCAGCCTTGGATGCCCACGCCTGTGGGTTTGGGGCTGAGGCACCTGCAAGGCCCCAAGGACAGGGTGTTGGTGGTGGTGGGGTGCCCACATCATGAAACTCCCCCAAGGAGGCGATGGTCCGGCTCTGCCGCCGCCTCAGCCTGCCTGTCCATAGGACTGGTGGTTGGAATCACACACCCCCAGGCTGTGTGGGGATGCCTGAGGTCAGGTGATGATCACCAGCACAGGCTCCACGCTCCGTAAGTCACAGCCTGCATCCAGGAAGGGGTACATTGGCACCTAACCCGGAGCCTCCCAGGGGCCAGGGCTGCACCCACTCACTCCACCTGCAAGCCACACCAAGCGCTCTCCCCATTTTGGTGGCATCCAGAGATGGCTCACTCCACGGCCCCAGCTGCAGGACAGTGCCCCCCGCCCTGAGAAATACCCAGACTGACCCCAAGGGCCTCCCCACTGCCTGTCTCAGAACCCACAGAAGGCTGGGCCCTGTGCCGCCAGCCCAGGTCCCACCCCGAGGGTGTGCTGGGCGCTGAGCCGGGCCCCTCCAACCCCTGGCATCACTCAGGCCAGCCCTACAGATGGTGACCTCCCACCCCCGCCCTGGGCGGCCCCATCTGCTGGCCCAGCTCGGATTGCCAGACTTCCAGCTCTGCGGCGGCCCCAGGCAGTGTAAGGCGATCTGACTGCCCACCGACCGGGCCCTCACCAGCAGCTGAGCCAGATGGGCGAGGAGAGGCGGGCGGGGCCGACTCCGGGAGGCAGTGGCGGCTGTAGCGGCCTGCTTTTCCCATATTGGCACTGCACATGATTGCTCAGAGCGGAGAGACACAAGCAAAAATGTGCTAGTGCCAAAATCGGCCAAGCAGCTGGGACTTGGTGCCAGCCCCCTGGGGACACGCTGGACGGGGCTGTGTATCCGTGCACCCCGAGGCCCTCGCGGATCTGTCTCTGCTCTGTTTATGGCCCTTCGGTAATTCACTGACCGAGACTGTTCACAGTGAATTCTACCAGTGCCATACACAGAACAGGAGTCACACTCTCCGGCCGGCCCACCCGCAGACCCTGCAGAGAGACCAGCTGCCCACCATGCCAGCTCCCTGCTCGCGGCAACCCACCTGCTCAGGAACCCCAGCCGGCCCCCCACTGCCACCCATTTGACCAGCCCAAGATGACCTTCAAGGAGACAGGCCCCGGACGGACGGGAAGAGGGCTGACCGTGGAGCCTGGCAGAGGGTGGAGCGAGGCCGCATCCGGGTCCTGCCTGCTTCAACCTGCAGGCTGGGGATGGAGGTGCATCAGGACCGCCCTGCTCTTCCTCAAACAGCAGCTGTCATTCCAGGTGCCCCCTCGTCCCCTGGTGGCAGTGGCCAGGACACCCTTCCTGGCCTCTGAGCAGACACCCCCACTGCAGGCTCCACTGCAAGACCCTTTGGTCTCCACCGACCTCCAGCCAGCCCCTCGGGAAGCCAAGCCTGCTGCTTACCGCCTACCCCTTCCACCCCAGGCCGGACTGGACCGTGAACTGCTCAAGCAGGCCAGCCCAGGCCCAGGCCACGGCAGAAGGCCAGGAAGCCCCTTAGGTCAAGGAGGTGTCTCGCAGGGAGCTGCAGGCACAGCCGCCCTCCGGCGAGGGGAGCTGCTTCTGGCTGGCTCGAGGGGACTTCGAGGGCGGGGCCGGGAGGTTGCATCAGTGGTTGCCAGAGCAGCTGCCTGGAGAGAGGTCCCTGTGGAGGCTCCAGCCTCGGGTGCCACAAGCCCTGGGGAAGGAGAGGGAGGGAAGGAGGCCGCAAGGGTCCCCTGAGATCTGGCGCCAGGGCAGGAGGGCTGGGCGCGGTGCACAGCAGCACCCACAGGCTGCCGCGGTCAGCATGTAACCAGAACACCCCGGAAGGTCAGAGAGCGAGGTCTCCCACCCAGGAATGAGGCAGCCTCTTGAGGATGCTGACCCCAGGGTCAGCTCCCTGGGAGCTGCCTCCGGGCACCCAGGCCAAACTCTCCCCCACAACCCCTCCATGGCCTCACCCCCCACACACACACACCCGGTGACGGGGTGGTCTCAGAACTCAGCTAGACCTCCTAGCCCAGGGGCTGGGCGTGTAGGTAAAGGGTGTGCCACTGCGAGGCCCGAGGCCTTGAACTACCAGTCAACCAGGGAGCCATTGACATGCAGATTCATGGACCCACCCAGAAATCTGCAAGTTAATGGAACCCAGAAGGTGGCCACAAGAACGACTTAGGGTGGGACAGTGGGCTGCTAATGGGGGTCTGGGATTTGTGATTCAGGGTCTACCTTCCAGCTAATGCACACCTGGAAGCAAGTACTTGGGCCCCCACCCCTCACGAGGGAGACCTGGGTGGAGTTCCAGGCTCCTGTTGGATGCAGGACCTCTATCTGCCTTTCAAATTCAAGACCATGAAAGCAAAATGTAGAAAATGTAAAATGTCTGGACAATAGCACCTAAGAAGTCTCACTCACCCCAGGTTACTTAAGGAAAATGGAAGCCCGCATTCCTTTTTCTTTTTTGAAGGGGAGTCCACAATGGGCAGAACCATGTGCTGGGGAAGGGGGACCGGTGGCGAGCGAGGGGCCGGAGCAGGCCTGGGGATGGGGCATCCTGCCCATCAAAAGGAATGAAGGGCACACGGGCGGAGAGCAGCTGGCAGCTCGGTCAAGGCCGCGTGCCTGCCTTCGGATCAACTGCAGAGTCCCCTTGTCCTCTCTCAGGCTGACCCGGAGTGCAGGGACCAGCGAGGGGAGCTGGCTGCCCTTCCAGCTGGGAAGGCCCCTCCCCCTCCCCGCCCCTCCCAGGCCGAATGCCGCAGGAGCAGCAGTGCCGCAGTGCCCTGGTGGTGCCACGCCCGGGTGAGCCCGGGAGCCACCCAGTCGCCCGTCGCCCTGGGCCTCGGTTGCTGTGGGTCAGCAGCCCGGCTCTAGGGAGGCAGCTCCAAAAGCCCCAAAGGGAAAACAGACCCGTAGTTTGGGGAGTCCCAAGTGGCTGCTTGTGCCTTCCCTGAAGGCCACCACCCTGACCTTGAGATGCAAGGCACAGAAATCTACTCCCGGCAGTGGGAGGAAGCCGGGATCTCCCACCCTGGTTGGGCGTGAGCTCTTGGCAATAAAACCACAGGGGTGCTGATGTGCCCCAGAGGGAGACCTAACCTATGTGGTGTGGTGGGGTGGGAGAGGGGGTAGAGGTCTCGGCCCCACCCTCCTGCCGCTCTCTGCTGGACATCTACAAGGCATCATCAGCCCCCATATCCCAGCCTCATCACCCAGAACCAGCCCAGTCCTGGTGCCGTGAACGCATCCGCGCCCAAGGGGCCTCGGACTTATCCCGTGTCTCCCACTGTGTCCCCACGATGTGTAGAGGCAGGGCTCTCGGAGTGCTTTTGGCACAGCCCAGGTGGCACCCAGCAGCGATCCAGGCACCTGGAACTGTGCAGGACCACCAGCGCAGGAGCCACTGGGCCCCCTCAGCTCGCCTTGTGTAGGAAATTTAACAAACGAAATTCTTGCAAGTGAGACCGGCACCCCGCATTTTTTTCCTCCTTTGCGCTAGGCGGACCCCAGAGGCCCCGCCCAGCCCCCTCCGGGGCTGGAGGGGGTGCGGCCATGAGAGATAAAGAAAGGATAAGCAGCAGCGGAGGCTGCAAGTCTGCAACCCGGGTTGGAACCAAGAGGCTCCCGGGGGATGCGCCCTCCCGTCCAGGCTGAGAGCTGGGCGCTAGGCCACGTTCCTTGCGGGGGCAGGGGTGGCACGCTCTACCGTCGGGCTACCCGGACGGCCTTCTTGGAGGGCTCGGCCTCGGGGGACGAGCACCGGGCGGCGATCAGACCCAGGGGAGGACGAGGGACGCGGCACCGACATCTGGCACGGGCCGCCGGCAGGAAGATCGGGCTTTCAGACCTCGGAGGCTTTGTGATGCCGGCAGCAGCGCTCGCGGGCTCGGCCGCCGGCACTTCCCCGAGGGCGGGACAGTGGGGATGGGGCGGCTGACTGGGGCGCCGCCCGCTCAGGCTCCCTGCGGCTGAGCTGCACTAGCGCCCCCAGCTCCCGCCCAGCAGGTGTTCCATACCTAGTGCGCGGGACGCCCGGGGTCGGAGGGGGGAACGTGAACGGCTTAATATGGAGGGCTTCAGGGAATCAGTCGACCCCCGCCCATCGCAGGCTCGGGGCGGCACCCTCGATGCCCACACCCCCAGGGTGCGCTGACTCGCAAAGCGCTCAAGGCGCGCCATCCCGCCGCCAACCCCGGAGCAGGGCTCAGGGGCCCTGGCCCTCGCCAGAGATCCCTGGGACGGGGACCGACGCAGGAGGGGAGGTGCCTCGGCCACGTACTCCGCGGTGCCCGGGGTTGGGGGCGGCGGGGTTCGAGTCTGAGCGCTGCTTTCCCCCAGGGACTGGGCGGGGCCTACCGGGGGGCCACAGACGCGGCGATTAAGCTTCGATGAGTCGCCGAGAGAAAGTATCTCTAGGCGCCAAGGGCTCTTTCCGCACCCGGGTGCCCTGCGGCCCGCCGCCCACCGCCCCAGCCCTGCGACTCCACCTGGGACCACCAGGGCGGCGGAAGGCCGGCACGACCCCGCCGGATTCTTCGAGAAAGAGGCGCTTGGGCCCGCGCCTAGACACGCAACTCGCCAAGCACCACCCGCACTCAAACTAAAAGGCCGCCTCCCACCCCCTGGCCGGGTGAACACCGGCTCGGGGCGGACGCCCCTGGGCGCCCAGGCCCCGGGCGACCCCCGCTGCCTCCGGCGGAAGGCCCGAGAGGGCGAGGATCCGCACTGCCGCGTCATCCCCGAAGGCGGGCCGGGCCGCTCTGCCCCCGCCTGCAAGCCAGGTTCTGGCGGTGCTGGCCCCGGGGCGCCCGCCTCCACCTCCTCTACCTGGCTCGACACTGGCTCCGCCCGGCCCCGCCCCGGACACTCACCTGCGCCGGCTCTCCGGGCTGGGCGCACCGCCGCCTCTCAGCTCCGCGCGGAGTCCACTCGAGAAGAACAAGGCAAAACGGGCCCTCGTGGGGAGTGGGCTGGATGAACGGGACTTGAGGCGCGCCAGGGTGGGCCGAGGGCGACGACCCGATCTCCACCGCTTCGCGCAGGAGGAGGCGGCGCCCGAGCGCAGAGCCCAGCGGGGGAACAAAGAGGAACCGGGATGGGGTGGCGCGCTTCCTGGGTGTCGGGTGACAGGTCTGCAGGGGAAGGCCCGGGCCCGGCCACCTGAGGAGGAGCCGCCTCTGTGCGGCCGGCGGCAGAGGGCTGGAGGGGAGCGCGGCCCGGAGGCCCAAAGAGCAAGGTACGCCGGCAGCCCTGGACGGCGCGGCCGGAGCAACGCCGGGAGGCTGCGGCGTAGAGGCGCCGGGGCTCCACCGAGTGCGGAGATAATGACTCGGGGAGGGTTTTACCGCCCCCTGAGCCTCGCCCGCCTCCGGGGCCGCGCCATTGGCTCAGGTGCTGTGGGGCGGGGGAGGGGCAGGAGGCGGGCCGGGGATGATTCACCTTGAATGTGGCTCGGGTTGGTGCACGGCGCAGGGCACGCCCGACCCGGACTGCAGAGACGCTGCGAGCGCCCAACCCGGCTGGGTCTGGCCCCAAGGGGGTCCCCCGCGGCCCGCCTCCCGTCCCCGCCTCCTGCCGTCGGGCCTGGGTGCTGCAGGCCAGCGGTCCTCCCGGACGCCCCGCCACGCCGCCGCCCCCCGAGCCCCGAGCAGCCGAGGTGTGTGCAGCCCAGCATGCTTGGAAATCTGACCCTGGGCTGGGGGAGGGGAGGTGCGTTTGGAGCGAGGACGCACTGTGGGGCCCCTGGACGGATCTCTGCAGTCTACACCCGCGGCAAGGGGCGCACAGGCGGA